TCCCTCCAGGTGCCTCATGTGGTCTTTGGGTGGTTTCTTGTTGTCCCAGCTGGCTCCAGGTGGGCCTTTAGGTTGCTGCTGAGTGTCACGACCACAGTCCTGGCAGGATGGCAGCCCCAGCAGCAGCTCTGGGCTTCCTCCCTCTAGTTAACTTCTAATGTCTGTGAATGTAGCAGCATGAGGTATCTGTGCTCCGAGAGATACATGCTTTGGAAGGCATCCAGTCCTCATTTCAAGAGGCTTCCTACTCTCCAATTCTGGATCAGGGTTTTGGAGAAACAGCCATGACGACGTCCCCGGGAGGCTCTTAGAAGCACAGCGGAGCCTTGCTACTGTAAGATGTTGCATCTTCTAGGTGACAGTAAAGGAGAAGCTCATCCAAAGGTGGCCTCGCCCCCAGGATGCCCCATGACATGAAAGAAATCTCATGTACAACGAGTCTCTGCTTGAGGCCTCTCAGAAAGCCAGTGAGTCAGGGAGGCCCAGACACACAACGGGAGGGCTGGGAGACTCCTCAGAGTCCTCAGGACCAACCCAAGCACCAGGAAGTCCCCACTCTCTCTCATCCTGGCCAATGGTCCTCCAGCCTCTGCTGGAAGAGCTCCAAGGCGGGACCCCACCACCTCTTGAGGCAGCCCATCCCATGTGGAGCAGGCTTCACGCCTCATCTCTTCACCTCCCGGTACTGCTGGGGTAAAGCGGCTGGGTTCTGGAGGAGGGAAAGCAGTGATGGAAGTTCCCCCAAACCTGCCATGACAATGACTTGGAAATGAGCTTGGGAGGGAGGTGGGTTGAATCCATTAATTCAAAACACACTCAAGGAGGAGCATATAAATGGAGCCTCCTAGGAAATCCATCAATCACCATTTACTAAGTGCCCCCTATGTGCCAGGCATTGTGCCAAGTGCTGGGGATACAAAAAAAGGCAAAAGATAGCCCTGCCCTCAAGGCAAGATAACAACAGACGACAAGGAATGCAGCTTGTCCAAGGACACGTCACCTGCTGACTCAGAGCTTCCCTTCCCCCAATCATCGCGCTGTGCCACAGTTGTGGCCATGAAACATTCAGGCGACGGAAGAGTCCCTTGGAGCCCTGCTGCCCCATGTCACAGCTCCTTGGACCACCATGGCCACCCATGCCCAACTCTGACCCAACCCAAGGATTGCCTGGAGAGCACAGCTAGCGCGGGGTCCTCCAGCTGCTATGTGAAGATCTCTGGCAGGGCAGCTCTTTCCACTTGGCAGAACTCCAATCATCAGCAAGTCCTCTTTGGCCTCTAACTCTGCCTCTGAAACTTGTCCCCACTCTTTCCAGTTCTGTCCTCTGAGGCCAAGCAGAACCACCCTAATCTTTTTTCCATATATTGTTATTCAGTTGTGACCCCATTTAGTTTTCTTGGCAAAGATACTGCAGGGGTTTGCCATTTCCTTCTCCAGTTCATTTTACAGATGAGGAAACTGAGACAAACAGGGTTAAGTGACTTGTCCAGGATCACACAATGACCCTGTGAGTATCTGAGACTGGATGTGATCTCAGGTATTCCTGACTCCAGGCCTGGCACTCTATCCACTGTGCCTCCTACAGCCTTTCAAATACTTGAAGAAGGCTGCCATCTTTCTCCCACCAGTTTTCAAGCCTCTTTTCTTCAGGTTAAACATTCCTACTTCCTTTGCCTGACTCTCAGACCTCTTGGTTGCCTGAATACTTACCAGTTGTGAGTAAATTCATATAAATGATATTAAAATAAAAATAAAAAATAATCAGTAAAATCATGGTCCCCAGGACTAATTATAAGACGCCAGATGTTCTCTGAGCAGGGTTGGGGGGCTGCTAGCTCTGCTGGTCCTGGACAGTTGGCCTCCCTTAAGGCAGTCTGACATCACACAAATGTGTCTGGGTCTGCAGTATCACACTGACAAGGTGCTTGCAGATAATGAACCCTCCCCTTTCCTTCTTTCCCCCCTCCTCCCCAATCGGCTTCACGAAAATTGCTATCTGGCTGTATTTACCCTCTAGCTAAGAAGACCAGCTAATTGAATTTAGTCCTGCAAACTCCTGATACCAAGAGGCTACCTGTCCCCAGTGAGTGCTTTCAGGACCCTGCCCCGTGTCTGAGAGCAGAATGTTTCTAGAACTAGCCTGCTAAAGGCACAAGGGCTCGAGGATAAAAGATGGAAAATCCACTCCTGGCCAGGAGAGCTGCCACCGAGTAAAGGAGAACCTGGGAAGATAAGGAGCTTCCCCTCACTGGAGGTCTGCAGCCTTTGTGAGGGTTGGGTGGAGATGGTAGAGGAGGAGAGAGACGAGGGATGTGGGTCCTTCTGGCTTCCAGATTCAGGAGAGAAAGAGAAGACAGGCTATTCCAACCTCTTTTCAGGCCACTGAAGGAAAAGAAAGACTCCGAAAGAGGACAGCATGTAGAAAAGTGCCCAGTAGGCATCATGTCCCCATCCCCAGCTTGCTATAGTAGAGACTTCAGGAGAGTTCCCATGAATGCTATTGGGGGAAGCGCCCTGAAATTCTCTCTCCTCTCTCCAGCTCTGCCTGCCCTTCAAAGGCATGGTCCATTGAGTAATCATGCTCCACCCAGGAGAAGAGTCCTGTGCAATCTGCCCCTTGAGCCAAGGTTATACAGAAGGAGGCAAAAGAAGAAAATGCAAGAAGCTAGAATTCTGGAAGCTTCACCCTGGGCCTAGGGACAGTACATACAAACTGTATGTGGCCTTGGCTGGTGTCCTTTCCTCAGTTTCTGCCTCTGGAAGCTGTGAAGGATTGACTAAATGATCTCTCAGGTTCCTTCTGCCTATGAATCTAGTGGATTCATACTCTGGGGGCGAGAAGCCCAAGGCTTCCCCCAGTCCAGAGCACCTAAGAACCTGCTAAGAGCATTTGCTCCCAAAGGATCAGGGCTCTAAGTTACACAGCAGAAAGAGCTGATGAGACTCTTTGTAGAACTGCCCACCTCCTGCAAATGGTCAGTTATACATTCGCAGGTGCAAGAGTGCCACCCAAGCTATTAACTGAGCATGTCCAAAGAGCCCATCAAGGCTGTGAGCCCCAAGGAAAACATCCTCAATTACCAAGGGATGTCCTCCCACAAGGAGACAGCCACACTGGGGCAGCTAGGGGGCGCCAGCCTCGGAGTCGAGAGGACCTGACTTCAAATCCAGCCTCAGACAGTCGCCATTTACTAGCTGTCTACACTGGGCAAGTCACCAAAAAGCAAACAAACAAATAGCGACAGTCACATGCTTGGGCCTCTGCTAACGCCATCCTTTGGCAGATTTCCTCTCTGCACCTAGTCAAGATCTGGAGGACAAAGAAGTCGCCTTTGGCGGCGGGGTTGGGGGCGGGGGGCCTGGCTGTGGGAATCTCCAGGGCAAGGCTACCCCCTTGTGGCAGCACCTATCCTTGCCACTAGGAAACTCCTGACTGTTGCTACACTGTTGCAGCTTTTCTGGAAGTCACGGGCTAAGAACCAGACTGAGTTCTTCATATCTTTTGACTCGGAGGACCCCCTGCCAGGCACAGAACGCCCCAAGGAGGCCCGATAGTCACAGGAGCAGCTTTTGCCGTAACAAGGAAATGGAAAGAAAGCAAACGCTGACAAATAGAGGACACTGAAGCACACAGAGGTGACCAGGGAATTCAACAGAAACGCTGAAGAGGAAGAATGGAGGGAGGCAGAGAAGGAAGACTTGTATGAACTGATGCAGAACCAGGAAAACTCTCCATGCCAGGAGTGCAATGTAAATGTAGAGAACAGCCGCAGAGCACCACAGCGTATGGTTATAATGACTGAGCCCAGCCCCAAAAAGGAGCTATGGACGTGAACCCCCCCACCCCCATTTGCAGAGGTGGGGGACTGTGGGTGCAGAACACTGCACATGTTGTTGGACTGGTTTTTTTTTAAGGCAATTGGGGTTAAGTGACTTGCCCAGGGTCACACCGCTAGTGAGTGCCAAGTGTTTGGTCTGAGGCCGGATTTGAACTTAGTCACTCCTGACTTCAGGGCCGGTGCTCTATCCACTGAGCCACCTAGCTGCCCCTTGCACTGCTTTTTTCCTTTCTTTCATTGTAGGTGATGGCTCTCTAAGGGAGGAGAAGAGAGGCTTATATTTGGAAATTTAGGGGATGTAAAAATTAAAGCTATTGATAAACTTAAAAAATAAGCTAAGACGTCAGCTTAAAAAAACATAGTGCCCTCAGGATTTAATTATAGCCATCACTCAGTACCAAACTGAATTAAATTGGAATGCATATTGTCTAATACATTTGATGCTTAAAAATCAAATCCCCCTTCACATCACCCATGCCCAAAGCACCAACCCCCCAGTACATACAAAGAGCTATGAACCCAGAGCATCTTTAACACCGCCCCACTCCCCCTACATAGGCACTTCCTGTGTAGCTCACAGACAGACTGCAGGGGAGGCCCAAGGCCCAGGACTCTGCAGCCAAGCCCACCAAGAAGGCTCCTCCTGCAAGCCCAGCCCCATGTCCTCTCTCTCCTCCTCCCTACTGGCAGGAGCCAAACCTTCAAACTGTGTCCAGATGGTTCACTCAAACTGCAGAAATGGTATTTCTATTATAGTGAGTCGGGGTTTGGGAACTTCTTCCAGAGAGGCACCCAGCATCTCCTCACATCTACAGGCTAAATTTCACTCAACCCCAACCCAACTCTTCTTTACTGTGCCTTAAAAGATCTCTAAAAGCATCAGCCTAGTAAAAAATACCCTTCCCACAAACACGTGGACATCAGCGCCTAATTAGGACCAGTTCTAAACCCTAGCCATTAGCTTCTGTCAGCCCTCTCTTCTCAGAGAATTTTCCGCATCAGGTTAATTGGTTTTCCATCACATCAGGAGACACTAGTTAGCGGTCTCCTCTGTGTCTCTAAATTCTGGCTTTCTCACCAGTGATCTAGACTCCCCCTCAGCCCTGGGGGGCAGGTATCTGCCCTGGGAGCTCCCTCGGCACCCCCACCAAGACCTCCTACCTTCCGAAACTTCTCCATTTGCTTAAAAAGGTCTGGGTCCAGCTCCTGAGACACGTCTTTCATCCACAGCAAAGCGCCACGGTACTCAGTGCGATACTGTTCCATCCGGTTCACAGTGAGCCAGGTGTCAGATATAGCGCGGTACCGAAATGTCTCCACCTCCTGGTAGAGTCGGCATAAAGGACTCCGCAAGGCCAGCCTGAGGGAGAGGTGAAGCCCGCTCTGAGGATGCCATTGCAGGAAGGAAACTGTAAAATCCCCCAAGACCAATTCTCACGCTAGAATGGGCCCTACCAGGAGGTGCCACTCGAACCCATCAGGGGCCCAGAGGGGGCCTCTCAGGCTCAGCTGGCATCCTGTCACTGCTGCTCCTGAGGAACGGGCATGGGGGAGGACCATGCCTATCCCGCAGCATGGAAGGCAAGAATAACTGTTACAGAGGCACTAAGGCTTTTCAAGAACTTTTCTCATAACTACCCTGTAAGGTAAACAGTGTAGATATGATCATTATACCCATTTCACAGAAGAGGAACAGAAAAATAAAGTGGCATGCTCAGCTGCACTGAGGGCTGATAATAAGAGCTAGGAGGCAGCATCCTAGGTCCAGATAAAATAAAAACAAGGATAATAGTAAAGGCTGATGATCACAAAGTGCCTTCCACACATCCCAGCTCTCCCAGAAGGTACTTCATGTGGGCCTTCTGTGGTCTCAGTGTGGGCCTTCCCTCCAGAGGTGCAGGGAGCCTGCAGTCCTTGCCAGTGACCTCCTCTCAATCATCCCTGGTCCTCTCAGTGGGCTCCCAGGCTCCCAGGTGTTCTCTTGCCATCCTGCACAGGCCATCCATGGTGGAGCCCAGTAATCACTGTGTGGTTGCCTTGTCTCTTTTCTGCATGAGGATCATCCCCATTTTACAGGTAGAGCAAGCTGAGTCACTCAGTCACAGAGACAGAAGGGATTAGATTTGCATCCAGATCTCTTCCCTCCAGGACCAGGGCTCTCTCTCCTACACCTTGCTGCCATCAGCGTCTGGCAGTCTTGCTTTTGGCAGCTCCAGTGATTGTGGAGAAGAAATACAGGGTAAAAAAGCATCCCTGAATGTATGTGTGTGTATGTATGTGTGTGTGTGTGTGTGTGTGTGTATGTGTGGTGTGTGTGGTATATGAGTGTGTGTGTGTTGTATGAGTATGTGTGTGTGGTGTGTGTGTATGTGTGGTGTTTGTGTATGTGTGTGTGTATGGTGTATGAGTATGTGTGTGGTGTGTGTGTGTGTATGTGATATATATGATGTGTGTACGAGTATGTGTGTGTAAGAGTGTGTGTGTATGTGTGCATGTGGTGTGTGTGGTGTATGTGTGTGTGTGGTGTATGAGTATGTGTGTGTGGTGTGTGTGGTGTCTGTATGAGTGTGTGTGTGAGAGTATGTGTCTTTGTGGTGTGTGGTGTATATGTATATGGGTGTGTGTGTGAGTGTGAGTGTGAGTGTGTGTGTGTGTGTGTGTGTGTGTGTGTGTGTATGAGTATGTGTATGTGCATGTGTGAGGAAAAGGGCACGAGCCCAAGGCCACAGATGTGCTGGGTGCAGCACAGCCCACATGGTCCTCCTCACCTCCGCTGCTGTTCAGTCCCTCACTTTAGGTGATATCATCCCCCCCAGACTCTAAGCTCCTTGAGGGCAGGGCCTGCCAGCTCATTTGTATTTTTATTTCTAGATCATATACCAAGCACTCAATACATGCTTCCTTTATCTCGCTACAGGTCACACTAATTGGAAGGATCCCCGGCTGACTTAATGTATGGGCTCAGGACAAAAGGACTGCTTTTCCCCAGGGACATTGCCACAAAAGGGAAAGACAGACTTCCTTGTCTGAACTCCACTGAAAACGATTGGTTTTTCCTGCACAAAGTCTCAGGAAAGCAGAATAAGATGTCGGGACAAGAACCCAAATCAAGTTCAGCATAGATGGCCCTGCCCTCCGTGCCAGCGCAGACGGATTCCACTCACCTCAGCTGGCCCGCATCAGGTGGAAAGGAGGTGGCTTCTGTGGGCGGAACACCCAGGGGCTTGGGGTGGGCTGATGACCCACTTTGGCCATGAAGCAGCATTGTGGCTTGTCCATTTGGGTTTTAAGACCTCTGCAAGCCAGGGAATGGCTGCTGCTCCTGGGATCTCGCCAGTGACTTTCAAAGGTCCAATGCCACCAGTCCATAATGGCATCACGTACATCTCAAAGGAACATTAGATTCCCTCCCCCACATCATGCCAATTACACAGCTACGTAATCATGATGATCAGGAAGACAAAGTCTTACATGATGCCTGTTTCAACTTTAACATCCATGGGGCAGTGGAAAGGGAGCCAGATTTGGAGAACATGGGTCCAAACGCCAGTCCTGGTGGCAACTGCCAGTATGATGGTAGGCAAGTCATTTAACCTTCTGGCAATTTTCTCATCTGTCTAAATGAGAGGGTGAGGCTAGATGGTCACCAAGGCTGCAGAAATGATTCTGTGAATAACCACTTCTAACAAAAGACCAGAGAGGTTGTCGGCATGTACTTAGAGTTGATGCCCAAAGCATCCTGGAGCATTCCCTTCTCTTAAAGGAGTCCTAACTCCTGAAGCTGGACAATGTTCCTGGACCTGCCGAAGCCAGAGTTCTGGAAATTCATGTTAATTGTTGGTGTTCTTTGTGACCCAGAACCGGGGGGTTCTGAATGCCTTCACCTGTGTGTTACTCCTGCTAAAGTTCTGCAGGTTTGCAAAAAAGGCCAGTTCCTAAAGCCAGTTCCTGGGGCAATCTACTGCAGTTTTTTTTTTTAAACTCAGCTTGCAAGCCAGAACACTTGGCTTCCTTCATGTCCCAAATAGAGCTGATCTTCTATAGGAAGCCTGCCTGGAGTCTCCTGCTTCTCATGTCTTCTGTCTTCCTTCCTCCCTATGTATCCTACATACAGATTTGCAAAGATGTGTTTTCTTGTTGTCTCTTCATCAGACTGTCAACTGCTTGAGGGCAAGGACTGTCTCTGGCTCTTGTATCCCCAACACTTAGCCTGGCACATTGTAAGTGCTTAATACATATTTATTGACTGACTGGTTTTTTGCTTTTGTTATTAAAATAGAAGAAACAAAAATTCAACAAAGTTACAGTATCAAGCATGAAGGTTAAATGATCCAGAGTGCAGTGGGGAAGTGAGCCCTCCTTCACCTTCACCCCACGTCCAGAAGAATGGACATTGCCCAAATGCCAAAGCCTTAAAAGACTCCAGAGTGTGACTCCTGAACAAACCAGCAGTGGAGACCCAAAGAAATGGAACCCTTCGAGGCATCCCCTTCCACACTCTTTCTCTGTGACCTAAAAGCATGGACATGCTTTGGGAATTCCTGGCTACTTGCTGCAAACAGGTGGTTATGCTTTCTAAGCCTCCTTAAAAGGGAAGATTACTGGGAGAAAGAGAAGTGGGCTTTGCTAGGGAGCCTACAAAAAGGGGCACAACACGGCATGGGCCAATTAGCTTTGTACGGCTCGTTGTGGCTCCACCACACAGGAGTGGATGAGCCTCTGTCTTTACGGATGCACGTTTATCTTGGGCCCAGCTCTGAGGCATGATCCTATGTGATGGTCTTGGAGGACAGACATTACTGTCTTCTTTGGCAGCTATAGGTCAATGGCACCAGAATCATGGCTTCCATCTTGATGAAGGAGTGCCCTGGACGAAAGGACCTTCTAGGTTGTGGGACAGAGCTACATTCTGGGATGTTCTATGGTTCACCAGATGCATTCAGGGCACTAACTTCTGACCTTGGTCTCCTGGTTGAATCAATTGAGTTAATAGGCCTAGGTTGACTAAAATAGTAATAATAAAGGGCTAAATCTGAGCCTAGTTCTATGCTAAGAAATGCTTCATTCCCACAATTCCCCTTTTGGTTAAATAGAGGTCATGCAATGAAGAAACATACAGTAAGAAAAATCAGACATAGCTTTTACTCAGAAATCTGGAAGCCAGGCAGCTTCACCCAGCCCCCGAGAGCAGCTTTCTGGTCCACAGGAGAAGGTCATAGGGAAGATTCCTTAACTGAACTGTTTTTATTAAAGGAATTACTGGGTCAACTAAAGGAGGAGCTGCGGAAGAGTGAGCCTCAGTCTGGGTCTGATTCTGTCTTCCTTTGGAGTGTTGGGCCGGCCTGGGAATTTCCTGGAGGCCTGGGTTTCACCAGTAGGAGTTTACTCCTAATTGAACTGGTTGGCTCCCACTGGGGTGGGATGGCACATTGGGAGGAGCTCTCTGTGCTGGCCTATGAAAGGCGGTTTTCATGAAGAACTCAGCCCTCTTTTACATTACTGCGAAGCAATCATGAGAAGGAACACAGCAGAGTTGAAATTGGGGCTGAATGTGGGAAGGGGAGTCTAGACGCCTCCATGTTTCCTTTCCAGCTGGAGTCCAAACGACTGGGGACTCCACGAGTCTGAAGGACTTGATCACCCTGAAGAAAGTGAGGAGCATAGTGGAAGGGACAACTGCTCATTGTTTATGGGCTGAAATTCCAAAGGACCCATGATGAAACTGGGTGCGCACCCTCCGACAGAGCCACGATGGACTCTGAGGGGAGGACTGAGGCATATTGCTTCTGATGTGGCCAATGTGGTGATTTGCTTTGCTGGCCTGGACGTGTTGTGACAGTGATTTTGTTTTTCTTGCTTTCTCAAGAGGTCAGGGAGGGGAGAAGGCAGAGGTGAGAGGGAAAGAGGTGCATTTTTGTGGGAAAATAACAAGAAAACAAGAAAAGGAGGAAAAGTATTTATGGCCTACTCTGAAGCCTTTAAGTCTTCTTCTGCGTTGTTTATTACCTCCTGTGAGTCCTGAGAATTTTCTTAGGGGTGGAATAAAGCCACCCTATGTCCAATATGTACATTGTTACCTTTGGGGTTTGTATGGGATCTTGGGATCCCTTTGACCCACATCTGTGAAAACCTGGTCTGTAGCTGGACAATTTTCCTGAGTAAACTCTGGGTAGGGACATACATACTCTTTGGAGTAGACCCCAAGATCACACCTGATCTGCATAAACCTAGAGCTTCTGAGGTCACTGAGGCATGGGTTCAGATCTACCCAGAGAGTGGATAAGGAAAGTGACTCACCTTTGCTGAGAGGAGAAGCACAGTGCCTTCCCCGTGGCCTGCATCATCTTCCCTGCTCGAGTTTTGTCCTGGGAACCCTGGGAGCGAAGGAACCTACCCAGCTCACTTTCTTCTTGTGACAGGACTGAAGAGAGAAGAGGAAAAGGGAGGAGGAGCAGAGTGGGGATTCCCAAGCAGGTGGGTAGGTGGGGGCAAATACAAGGCCCTCTTCAGAGAGAGTGAGAGGATGCAGAGCAAGCACTCTCCCTCCCCCAGCCCCTCCCCCAGCTCCATCCCCACCCCCACACCCCCATCTCCTAGCCCTAGAGAATTTTCAGACAGCTCCTCCACAGGATGAGAGCTCAAATATCAAGGAAGACAAACCCCTATCTGTCAGGGAACTGGGAACAGGGCTACTGAAGTTATGAACCAGGCCCTTTGCTGACAGGTCACCAACCCACTGATGCACCCTCTTCACTCGAACGATCACCTGCCCAGGTCCGGACCAGCACCTCGGCACAGCCAGGGCTCCCAGGCCTCCCTACCCTGGCACCAGCACCAACATAACTGCTATTGCCCCCAGCTGCCATTCAGCTCTTCTGTTGTTATCTATTTATAGCTTCACATTTGGGACAAGATTCCTTTAACTTACACACACACACACACACACACACACACACACACACACACACGAGGCTTTTAAGAGAGGTGTCAGCAGCCAGGGAGAGCTTTCCTAGATAGGAACTTTTGTGATCAACTGACCTTGATCCTAGTTGAACAAGTAAAAGGATGATTCTATGCTCATTCAGACTCTTTGACTCTCTCTCTCTGTTTCTGTTTCTGTTTCTGTTTCTGTCTCTCTACATACATACATACATACATACATACATACATACATACATAAATACATACACACTCTCAAAGGCCAGGTGTCTGTCAACAAGAGAACCCCCCAAATGGCATCTTTCCCTATTTGGCTTCCAGGAAGGGCTCCGTGGCTCAAACAGCCACAGCCTTAGCTCACTGGGAGAGAAGACTATTCACAAAAAAATATAAACTCACTAGATGCAGATTTATAAGAACAAGAGCCATTCCCCAGTTGATAAATCATCATAGAATATACACTGCCAAAGCAAGAAGTCCAAGCTATGAAGAGCCATGTGAAAAAAATGCTCCAAATGACTAATAATGAGAGAAATGCAAATTAGAGCAACCCTGAGGTTCTGCCTTGTACCCATCAGAATGGACAAGAGAGGATGATGACAAACCGTGGAGGGGCTGTGGGAAGACAGGGACATTGGCCCACTGTCAGTGAAGCTATGGACTACTCTGGCCATTCTGGAAAGCAGTTTGGAGCTGTTCCCAAGCTGGACAGACCCTGTGACCCTGCACACTGTACCACTGTTAGGCCTGAGCCCGTCCGAGGCCACAGAGAGAGGAAAAGACCCACATGGACAAAAACATTGGTAGCAGCTCTTTTGTGACATCAAAGAACTGGAAACGAAGGGCGTGCCCATCAAAGGGGGGCTGGCTGCATAGATTCTGGTATAGAACCCCACGGAACACCATTTCACTGTAAGAAATAAGGACAGGGGCAGTTTCAGAGAAACTCTGGGAAGACTTTTTTGAACTGACACAAAGTGAAGTGAGCAGAACCAGAACGATTCTCACAATAACCCTGAAAAGAAAAACAACTTTGAAAAACTCGAGAACCAGAATCAGCTCAATGACCAGCCATGATTCCAGAGGTGCAGCCATGAAGTATGTGCCCATCTATTGAGAAAGTGGTGAAGACTAAGGTGTGCACGCAACACACAGGCTTATATACATGCAAACCCACACGCATGTACCCCAGACACATATGCACACAAACACAGATGTATACACACATACATATACATGGACATATTTGAAATATGACCAGTGAAAGAACTTATTTTGCCTGACTATATGTATCTGTTGCAAGGGCTTTGTCTTCTAGGTAGCTCAGTGGATAGAATGAGCGCTAGCCTCAAGTTTAGAAAGTCCTGAGTTCAAATTTGGCCTCAGACACTTACTCGTTGTGTGACCCTGGGCAAGTCACTTAACCTCTGTCTGCCTCAGTTTCCTCACCAGTAAAATGAGGATAATGATGGCACCTACCTCCCAGGGTTGTGAAGACAAAATAAGATAATATAGTCAATTCTAAAATAACTCAACATACGTATTCCTGAAAATCATCAATGCTGTGAAAAATTGTGCGATAAAAACCACAGAGGAAAATGGGTTTTGTTTTGTCAGTGACACATAAAACAAAGGCAGGGATCACTACAAGCGGTGGTGCTGATTTGGACGTGGGGAATAGCCCCACAGAAATGGGCCTGGGTGTGATGCCCACAGACCCTGCAGGGACTGGCGAGGCTAGCGGCCTCAGCACACTTGAGGCACAGAAGAAACCTGGAAGTTTCCCTTGAAAACGTGAGGGCCAGACGCTGCGGCTCCAGAGTCTGTGAAGGGATGTCATTTTCTATGTTCTTTCTTGAAGATAAAATGAAGCCCAAGCAAACACTCGGAAGCATTAGGTTCTAATTGTTCCTGAATGTATCGATTGTATTGGAAGAAATTTGGGTTTTCAAAGCAAGTGTCATGGTAGAAGCGGCTGTGTTTGTACTTGCAGCATTTAGTGTGTGCTATTCTTATCAGTCATTGTTTTCCCACTTGGAAGAGGTAGGGAGTTGGGAGGAAGAGACAACGCCAAATGCTTGTTAATTGAAAGACACAGTTAATTTTTTAGGCAACTGGTTTGAGGTTCTAGGTGGACTTCTGATAAATGTACCCCCAGGGCCTCAGGCAGAAAGGGAGCATCCCCCAGGCAGAAAGCCCTGCCCACCAGAGTCTCTGGTAAGACAATTAAGAGAGGGGAGGGGGCTGTCCTCTTGGCCTGAGGGAGGACCACCTTCAGATTCGGTGTCTGAGAGGCAGCCATTTTCTGAACATCTATAGTCCATTAAATGGGCCCCCTCCCCAAACCCCAGAACTCAGGGTAGACAGTACAAGACTCTGGAGCCCTAAGAGGCCTAATGCACTTTGAACAACGACATGTCTGCTTCACACTCTTCTTTGCCTTCCAATATGGAAACGCCCTCGGTGATAAATCCTTTCTGTCATAGCAAATCCCAAAAACTCTCCACTGAGGAGCAGAGCTGGGAGGCGTGGCTGTGGGGGGCAGGAGTAGCCCATGCCAGACATGCCACCCCCTGTAATCGGTGCACCCATGGATGTAAGCTTTTTGAGGGCAGGGGCTCCAGGCCCAGCACTGTAGGTGCTAAGAAACATTTGCCGAGTTGAATCTTTTGATTGCATTAGGACAATAGCATACAAATATGATTTATAAACAAGTATACATATATTGGGGTTCATGCTTAAATTCTTTGGCTCTTGGGGTGTATGATCAAAAATGTTGGTGGCTGCTGTCCTTGACTGGTAAGGACAGAGCTCCTGGTTCTCTGTCCCAGTCAGTGGCTGTGTCCATACGGGGCTTACTTACTGGGGTCCTTTTCCTAATGGACAAAGGCCAGAAGAGAGCCTTCCCTCCTCCCTGAGCACGCTTGGAAGCAATCTCTTTGTCCTGCTTTCAGGGGAGCCCACCTGGGCTGAACTTCTCCCCTGGCTCTGGGGTGTTGGCAGACACTGCTGCCCCTTCTGCTATTTGCTCCAGGCTGCTTCCAAGAGGGGCTCCTGGTGCCCTGGGGGTCAGTCATTCCTGACAAATTCCTTGAGTGTTGATCGGTGACTGAATCTACTTCATGAAACTCTTGGCGGGACCAGAGGCTGGGCTCTCCAGCCCACCTGTCTACTTCTCTTCTCTTAAGTAGGGGAAAGGAGGAGGAGATTCCAAGCATTGATCTAGGGTCCGGGGATGGGGCCCTTGAAGAGAGGGGTCCAGGTGATGTTTGGAATCTCCTCTTGCTCGGCTGAAGGCAAATGCGTCCCCTGGGATCTGGGCTCTCGGACGTGGGTGTGGACTTGTGGGCATGCATTAGCCATTGTGTGCTGAGTACAGAGTGGTTTTTCAGTCTAGCTCTGGATCACATGATCTTCCTTTTGCCACAGCAGCTGTTTGTACCCAACGATGCCGAAATGCTGGCAAAAGCTTTGGAAACAAGTGGACAAGAGATCTGTTCATTTCCTCATCTCACGATGTGTGAATGATGCCTTTTCAAAACAACTTTTTGACAATCCAATGTGTAGATATGGCCACCCAGAGTAGATCTACCCAGAGGAAGCAGAATGGGCCCTTCAGGACAATTGCTCTAAAAATGAATTTCAATCAAACCATAAGAAAATTTCATTTTCTAATAGACTCATATCCAGCATGATGAACCCATCAACGAAGGAGCAGGAGCCGTGGTGGAGGTAACATGGCAGGAATGAGGGGGCTGGGCCGCCATGGGCTTCCAGGTCTGCTCTTTTCTCCAAAAAAAATAGACAGAATCTTTGGGCACAGAGTGCTGCACATCACGCATGTTTCCAAGCCTTTGTTACTCAAACAACTAAAAGGAAATCAACTGCATGGAAATCCCAATGGATAAGTCAGCAATGGAATTGTAGTTTGGGGAAGAAAAGTGTGTCCCAGTCTCTGTATAGCACGTGTAGATGAGCTTCAGTTTCTGCCTCTCTGCTGAAAAAATGAATCTCACAAGCAGCACATTTCCTTTTTTTTTTTTTGAGGCAATTGGGATTAATTAACTTCCCAGGGCCACACAGCTAGTAAGTGTCTGAGGCTGGATTTGAGCTAAAGTCCTCCTGACTTCAGGACCAGTACTCTATCCACTGCACCACCTAGCTGCACACTTCCCAAGAAATTTCTGAAAAGCTCAGAGAGCATACTTACAGCAAATCCTCTTCTGATAGAGTTCAATGGCTTTGAGGAGCTCCATACATGTCCTCTGGATGGAGTGGAACAGCTGAAGCAAACACAGGGAAAGGGTTTCACATGCTGGGACCCAGAGGCACTGAGTGGAGATTCCACCCCCCACAGGACCATCAAAGCCACGACCACGGATCTCACGGTGGAGATGGTTCCACAATTGTGGTTCTTCCCCAAACACTCAGAGCAAGTATGTGGCGGTCTGGCAACAATCCCCCCTTTCTCCAGCCTCTTTTTGAGGAGATAAGGATGGGGGCAGGGGGACACATGCAGAGTGAGCACCAGCTGGTGGCCACAGGAGAGACCTTGAAAGGCTCTGGTCGGTGGTCAAAGGGAAATGGGATTGATGCCATATGGGAAGGCAGGAGTGGAGACTGAGAGAGCAGGGCAGTGACTACAGCAGCCTCAGCTGCAGAACTCAGGATACAGGGGGAGGGGACACTGCCGTGCCCCCTGACCCATCTGACCACTGTCCAGGTGCCAGAGACTTCCCTCTGACTTTCCTGACAGCATCAGGACTTTTATGGCACCAGAGACGGGGATGTTTGGTGGGGAGCACCTCTCTGGGTCACAGCACAGAGCCCAGAAGATTTCTCAATGACCATGATTACTTTCTTTATATAGAGGCAGCTTCTGGGTTACAAAGACCCGGGCTGTTCAAGAACCTGAGAGAGTCACTGACCTGCTCTCAGTTTCAACTGATGCTGACTGATAACAGAGGTAAGTCATTCTGTGTGGGTGGGGGGGTGCCCTGCCCTGGTGCAACCACAGTGCCCCCATCCTCCCCATCTCATTCTCATCCTGCATCCCCCTTCTCCCCTCCCACAGCAGAGGATGGGGCCGGGCTGTCAGCAGTCTGGTGGGAAAGACCCCAGACCAGCACAGTTTGTGTGAGGGTCTGGCCCCTACTTCATTTACCAAAGTGCTGGGTTTTTGAAGAATGAATTTTCAGTTAAACATGATGCTAAGTAGGCCAGCAATGGCCCCATAGGAGCTGCGTAACAAAGCGGCATCCTTCACATACTGAGATGTTTTGAGGAGAAGTAATAAGCTCAGTGGCCCCACTAGCTGCTTGGCTCCCGGGTGCTAGTCCGGGCTCTCCGCACAGCCCTCAGGGTTGCGGGCGTTCAGCTTCTCCCCTTTCTTTATAAACCCCCTGATGGAGCCTCTCGCCTCCCCCAAGCTAGCGCTGTGTGCGGCATGCAGTGGTGGTCATAAAAGTCTCTTGTGAAGCTATTTTTGGCATCGTGTATCTATAGACATTGACTAGCTGGGTGACCCTGGGCAAGTCACTTAACCCTATTTGCTTCAGTTCCTTATCTGTGAAACGAGCTGGAAAAGATGGCAAATCACTCTAGTGTTTTTGCCAAGAAAACCCCAGATGGGGTCGTGAAGAGTTGGACACAAGTGAATGACTCTACAAATCAATAGCCAGAGCCAGCTCAGGACTGTTGGCGATGGGATAAGCTGAGTCCTTGACTATTCTCTGTTGCCATTGTTTCCTGCTCCCTCTCCCAAGGTACCCAGTAGTCTCACAATCTACTTATTAATAATCTGTTCCTTGAAATTCATTCATACTAAAGCATAAATGACTGACTACCTAGAGTCATAGTTTTACCTCCTTCTCAGGGGAACTTGTATCTAACAGGAATGAAGACCTTAAGAAAAAGGGCTGAAGCTCTAATCCCTGATCTCATGCACTAGCAATCAAGAAGGGAAGACTCTGAAAGTGGGGGTTATGCCCCCTCCCCTTAAAAAAATCAAACAGAGCCACTGATTTTTCAGCCAACACTTGTGAGCAATAGACCAAAAGTTTCTCCCTGGTTTGTAATATTGTGAAGAAATATATGTGACCAAGCATTTTTAAAAGGTGTTTTTAAGAACTGATTACAATACTTCATTCCTTGTGATTTCACAGTTTGGGTGTTCTTTTCACTAGTGCAGATTGCACCCTGCTTTGACTTGGTAGAGTTGTCTCCATTATTTGCTATGGCCAAAAACATTCCCTGTGGTCAGCTCTGGGGAGGTGCACCTACTCACACTCACCCTCAGACAACCTGCTGTCAGGAAGTCACATAAAAGAAGGACAGGGCTGGCAATAGCATTTGGGAGCCCAGAGGGATATGCAGTAGGGTATCAGGCCATTTGTATCAGAAAATGGGATAATCCGGGGCATCTGGCTCACGGTCTGATATACAGCAGGCACTTGATAAATGCTCTGAGCCCCCTTTCTATATCAACTCTCAGGAGATGGAAACATACAGAGGGGGTGTGGAGAAAGCAGGTGAGGAGTGTAGAACCTGTGACTGGAGCCCACATTGGGGCACTTTGCCCAGGCCCTATGCTGACCAGCCTGGCTGATAGCATCCCCCACCCCAGACTGAAAGGGCTGGGATGGATTTCTGGAACACTTTTCCCATAGCTCTGCATATAACAAACCCTCTTCTAACTGAGTAGAAAGGAAAGGGACTAGCATGTAATTTCCCCCATGTAGGGAACCCCTCCGGTCAGAAAACTCCCTCCAGGGAAGGGGACCCCCTTCTCAACAGTGGAGAGGCTGGGGAGGTGCCTGGAGCAGATGCTGGAGGCAGCTCTACAGTATAATGGGGAAATATTTAACAAAGTCGATAAAGCATAATGGGATATAGATAAGGTCAGTCTGTGGTTTTCTAAGTCCATCTGTGTGACTTGGGATCCTTATGTTGTATTTGAGTTTGACACTGCTGGTCTGAGAGGTTGTGACTTGCCTGGACTCCATAGTTGGTTAATGCAGAGCCATGGCATGAATCCTGGTCTGGCTGAGGTGCAGTGCCTGTCCATAAATGTTTGAAGACATCCCTCAACTGCCCCTCACAGATAACATGACCTGTAGCCCCCACACCACTCTCTGATGCATTAAAGCTTTTTTCAATATCCCTTGGAGAATGTGGTAACCAGAACTCAACTGTTTTCTTTAGACGTGGTTTGAGAAGAAGTAGCTAGAGCAAGTGCATCTCTTCTAGCTCTCTAGATGTGGCCTGCCACTAAATATGGCCCAAGCCATTCTATTCTCTGGCTACTACCTCCCATCACTGTTAAGGAGGCAGTCAATTGGAACTCTCATGTCTTTTTCATAGGAACTGACAGTAAGTTTTCTCTCAGTCCAACTGACTTCTGGCACACAAGCGGAAGACTTTACATTTTTTTTGGAGACCATCTTGTGGGTTCTAGAACAACATGCTAGCCTTCTGAGATGTCTCTGAATCTTGATTCTGTCCTCCAAGACACTGGCTATCCTTCCCATCTTGTGTGTTAGACACAAACTTAGAAGCACCTTTATCCAAAGCATGGATAAAAATGTTTCCCAGGGCAGGACCAAGGACAGAGCCTCAGATGTATCACTCCTAATGATCTCTGTTCAAGTCAACACCCAGGTCAACATCATTGGAACTCATCATCTGTGAATCACCCAAAGCAAAGGCATCATCTTGACCACTGTTTTCCTCCCCCTTCCCCCTCCCCAATGAAGTCAGGAAAGATGTAATTAAGTGCCCATGTGACAGGGTCAGCTCTTCCCAAATTTACCACTTTAGTCTGAATTCTAACCCTAATACAATTACACTTTCTTAGTCTGGTTCATCCCTGTTCTATTTTTACTTTGGCCCCAGGGAATGACTCTACCCCAAGACCAGCTCTGTGATTGATGGATGAATCCCTGCTTGGAACCTCCATGGCATCAGAAACCACACTGTGCCTGCTCCATCTCCACAGTGGCCACCCAGCCCTGACCTTCCTTTACTAGTCAATCCTTCCCCCCCTTTCTAGCTCCCCTATTAGAACATCATCTCCTTGAGAGCTGGAGTCTCCTGGTTTTCTTGTGGTGTCTTTGGCACATAATAGGGTTGGTATAGAGGAAGCATTTAATTAATGTTCTCTAGTTCTCTCTTCTCTTCTGTCTCTCCTCTCTATCTCCCCATCTCTCTCTCTCCCCTTTTTCTGTGTCTCTTATCATTTTCATCTCCACAACGCCTCTGAAATTGTCCCCTACTATCCACTCACATGGTTGCTACCTCACTCAGACCCTCTTGGATGGACGTGATGGGATGCTGGGGTGCTTGTACTCCGACCACACTTCCAAGATCACATTTCTCCCTGGCCTCAAGGCATTATCCCTGACAGTTTCCCTCTAGCCCAACGGCCTTATCTCTGTCAGTGACTCATGAGTGGGCCCAGTGAGGCAAACTATCTCTCCCTGTTACAAGAACAAGATGACCCTGGAAGAATTTCCCTTGTATGAACAGGACTATATCGTACCAGCAGAACTATCATATACTGATGCCCACAGTTATGTATACAATCCAGAGGTCAAGCTATAGATGTCAACTTCTGGAGCTATTTTGTCACAGACATAACAGATTAAAAACACTCCCCTTAGGAAGCCCCTCCTCCACCCCAGTTTCCAGTACTGAATGACGCCTGTGCCCAAGGTTGTATGTTACCACCTAATTAGCATGCTTGCCACACAATTCACTACTTCTCCTATGGAAGCTTTAGCATCATTCCTGTTAAGTGACAAGCTCCCTAGGGAGCTATGCCCACCGTGTTAGCATTACAATAAACTTTTTGCCACCTGACTGGAAGACTGCTTGAGTCTGTGAATTCTTTCCAGACAACTCTGTCCTGTACCTTGATATTTTGGGGTCCCTACATCTCTAAACCGCATCATCCTTGCCTCCTACCTGGGCTCCCAACCTACTCTTTCTTTCCCAGTCTGCCCTTCACACACTTGTCACTTCTCAGGACAACCATGCCAGAGTGCAGGCCTGACCAGGTCATTCCCTTGTTCAAAGACTTCTGAGGGTAAGCCCATCGTGGCCACAGCATGAGGCACTAACTCTTCAGGCCCTCCCCAATAGGTCTGCACAAGGCCTTTAGTGCCCATGACCCATCATCCCTTGCCCCACTCCACATTCTGGCCCACCTGGATTCCTGGCTCTTTCCCAGTATCACCCTGCTGCTCCCTGTTGCCACCCTGCATGTCTCTGCCTGTTGAGTCCCTCTTTCCCCAGCAGGCCTGGTCCAGGTGCCCCTGCCCTCTGAAGCTATCTTCCCTCCCCTACTTGCCTGCCGTTCCTTGTCTGCTCTTCACCCCATCCCACTGCCTTGTGTCATGCCAAGACAGTGGTATGTCTCACACACCCTCTTTGTACCAGAAGGCTGCTGAGGGCAAGGCTGTTCCTTCCCACCCTTGAGTGCCCAAAGGGACCACAAGCCCATGCCCATGGGTGGCTCTCCATCATGTTTGCTCGACCGAATCATATTGTGAGGCTCCTGATGGGTCCTTGGGAAACCTGTGCTGAGACCAGGCGATCACTCATTACCTTTGCTTCCACGTGCTCACCAACCCTCTGCCCTATATGGTGGCTAGGGGATGCCATAGTGCATAGAGAGCTGGGCCTGAAGTCAGGAAGACCTGAGTTCAAATCTTGCCTCAGACACTTAGTAGCTATGGATCCTGGGCAAGTCAATTAACCTCTGTCTGCCTCAGTTTCCTCAACTGGAAAATAAGGATAATAATAGCACCTACCTCCCATATGTGCTGTGAAGATCCAATGAGATACTATCTGTAAAGTGCTTAGCACATCTTAAAGCACTTTGTAAATGCCAGTAATCATGTTATCATTAGCACTAATACTCCTATTATCCATTCCAAAGCTTTGCTAGAAATTAACATGAGTACCCCTTCTTTCTGAAAACTGACCTGGAGCCTGGCCTCTTCCAAGGCGATGGCCTGTCATCTCCCCCCTCCAGGATTTCTTAGAAAGCACAGTCCCAATTTGTGGGGGGAAGGGAGGGGGTGAAGGTGGTTCAGTACTCAGAAGGTTCCTCATTTTTCCTCCCAATGTACTTACTAGACGTGTCGAGATCAGTCTGGGGAAAGGGCCCACGTCCACCTCTGCCTGACAGAGTGAAAGCATTCAGGCTGTGTCTTGGCCACTCCAGTTGGGAGTGCGCGTGAGCCGCACCCACCCAGAACCACCAGGGGGCGCCCACCCACCTCTAGCTTGGCATCCAGATCTGCGTCTGAGGCCACCACATGCTCATCTTCCTTCTTGCCTGTCACCTTGATGAGGGCTTGCTTTGTTTTCCAATACTTCTGTTGCATCTTGTTCACAACTGACTTGTCTTGACTTTGGGCGTATTGGTCATAAAATTCCCTGGAGTAGCTGCCAAGGACATGCGAACAATTACAAGGGGGAGGAAACTGGGAGGGAATTTTGTCGGATGCCTTCATTTGCCAACAACAGCTCTGAGCTAGGCAGGAAGTTTTCTCTTAGCATGTTATTTGACTAACAGGAAATGACGTGTTTCAATATTTGCCAAAGTCTCTTTTTTACATGACATTTCCACATGGGGCTCAGGTCCAAGCTTGAGTGCTATCCTGGACCTCAGAGACCGAGCCTGGCACCCTCAGAGATGAAACACTCCCAGATTGGCCTCTTGGTGGCAACGCTAGGATTAGAAGCCAAGTCTCTGAAGTCCAAGCCCAGCGCTCTCTTCTTCCTGCCACATTGTTTCTGACACTCAAGGGATGATGACTGGAAAACAGAAGACTAACGTGTAGGGGGAAAGGTAAAATGTCTAAGAATTTCACATTTTAATCATCAAATGGTAGCAGATTTTAAATTGAACAAAAGTAATGGACAATATGTCATTCCCTAAGGGAGAGTGTCCTGAAAAACATTCTTCAAAAAATGTCAATAGATGTGCAAAAGAAATTCCATAGTTAGACCCTGGGAAGAGTGGCTGGGCTGCAGCTGCAGCCCATATATGGCCGACAAAGGGACAGTCTCTAGACAGAATCCCCTCTGGCCTTCCCTCTCCACTCCCTTCTTGGAGTCTTTGACCTGTCAGGTGCTCAGTGCCCCCTTTCTTCCCTCAGGCTGTCTGGGCCCTCACCAGTGTCCCTGAGATTATCTGATCAGTGAACCCTGACTTCCTAAGGGTGACTCTGGACAAGCCAGACTCTGGCTGTCTAGGTTACGAGGGCACGAGAGATCCCATTGGCTTAGGAAAGCAATATGGAACAATTAGGAACTGTTTGGTCACTGAGGCCAAGGTAGGCAAGGAGACCAGAGACCCATCTACCTTTTAGTGAGGACGTTTTTTGGAAGACACCAAGCAAATGCCTTGGCTATTTCATATCTCAGACAACAAGGGGCTTGGGCCTGTCCTTCATGAGACGTGGACTTAGTAGGAATTTCTAACAAGTCCTCTCTGCCGGGGACCTCCCAGGTGACGGGTAGACATTTTTGCTATCCCTGTTTTATTCACTGTAGGTTTCTAAGAATGAATAATTCAGGGCAAGTATTCAGGAATGGTCGACCATAAAATCAAGAGACTAGCTTTCATCAGAGACTGGAATCACTCTGATTATTTCATGTCTTAAGGAGAGTGATTCAGAAAGGGGGCTGACACCATCATTGATATCTGTGCCATTGAGCTTCCTCGGAGGAGACAAATCACGAGGCAGCAAGTCCTCCCAAGAAGGCACTGCTGCCCCTTGGCATCTGGGCTGCTCACGGATGGCCCATCTGTCTGTAAGCTCCTTGAGGGCAGGGACTGGCCTTGGCTTTTCTTTGGATCCCCAGCACTCATCACCTTACCCGGCACACAGTCTGTGCTGATCAAGGTCTCTTGTCTGATTGTATGCAGGGCTGGTCACAAAGACTGCCCACACACCCCCTGGGGTCAGAAGGAGGAAGCTTGCTCACCATTTGTGTCGTTCCATGTTTCCTTTTGTCCTTCAGTTGCTGATGATTCAGGGGGAGGGGCAGGAAAATGGCAGGAGAGAATCAGTTAGAACATCACCTGCAAAGAAGGAAGAGTGCTTCAGAGAGGGAGCTGGGCACTCATTTTTGTGCATGTTTATAAGAAGTTTTTGAGCTCGAACTTTTCTACTGTCAGGATACTAGAGCAAAATGTGAGCTTCTTGAGGGCAGGTGTAGTTTATGTGGGTATCCCCAGCACAGGTGTGTGGAGGCACACAGTGGGTGCTTTATAATGCTAGTTGGAGTGGATTGGACAAAGAATGTCCCAGAGCAGTCCCAGGAAAGCCTGGAAGAGAAAGGGCTGAGGAGAAGGGGGTTTGCATTCAAATGTGGAGGGACAATTACAGGAGGGGACAGAGAGGACCATGAACTTGTGAGCAAGGTGACTGCAGTTTTCTCTGGCTTGGAAGGGTACAAGGGAGGACTGAGCAATGGTAATGCCACAGAACCTGGATCCTAGTTCAGCCTGCCTTGAGCTGGGAGTACTGATCAGACACAGGGGCCAAAGAAAACGCATGCCAGAATGGCCTGGGCTCCATGCCCTTCCCAAGCCCCACAGTTCTTCCCATCAATAGGTGAGTCTCTTTCTTTGGGACAGGCCATTTTATTTCCATGGCTCATGGTGACATGTCCCTCACTTGGCTTGCACTCCAGCAAGGAGGCTGGTTAGTCCCACACTGGCAGGGGCTGATCACTGCCTCCCAAGATGCAGCTGGAATATCTTCAGAGACTCTAAGGTGCCCCCAGCCTCTGTACAGGTGAACAGAAAAGAAGGGAATGACTTCTCACATGCATGAATGAAGGGCACCCACACAGAGATGGAAAGGCTGTGGGCCACGATGAGCATCCAACCCCTTCCTCCTTCCAGCTACTCAGGCCAGTGCCTCCCACATCCTTCTTCCCTTTCCTCTACTAACTCTCCCAACATTTCATTCACACTAAAGTATACATAAATGATGGTATCAGCTCTCAAAGGGCTACTTTGCCTAGCAGTTTTCACACAAATGCCATTTATTAAGCATCTACTAGGCCAAGCTTCATGCTGGGCCCTGATACTACAAAGACAACAAAGTCCCTGCCCATAGGGAGCTTACATTCTCCTCTGGTGTGTCTGTGGGAAGGGGAGGATACACCAGTCACACAGATAAGTATCATACTCAGCAGAAGGAGAGTGGGGGCAGAAGGAAGACTCAAAATTACTCCAGGAACATTTGAAGAAGAGGAAAGTTTTCAGTGGGGATGAATCCAGGAAGAATCCCCAGAGATGACGGTGGGCCTGAGTCTTGTATAAAGGAAAATCTGTTTGCAGGTGTCCAGGGACCAAAGTTTAAAGCTCATATTGGGCAGGGAAGTAGAAAGGAGAGGGAGAGACCACACAGCTTGGGGGGGAGGGGACATCACTACCTTAGGGGCCAGCCAAACAGAGAGCAGCTGTTTGGGCAGACTCAACACTGGGAACTCAGCCTGAATTGCGCCACTCCCCACTTTTCCTGCCTGCCATAGGGCTTCTCGAGCAGAACCAATGCAGGGAGCAGCCAACAGAGCAGGCAGGCCACTTCAGTGACTCTTCTAAAATAAGAAACCAAGTCCCAGAGAACTCAACCACCACCTATTCATGATCAAGCAGGAGAAAGTGGGGTGGTTAATGATGATAAGGACAATGACTGAGACAAGGATGATTCAAGGATGATGATGATCACCATCCCCCCCACCCCCAATGAGCCCAGCAATCATGACTCCCATTTCCCCAACCCTTACAGTTTGTCCAAAGTGCTGTTGGCTCCCCAGCTCTGCTCCAAGCTCTCTCATGACTCCATCAGGCCCCTAGCTGCCTTCTGGGCTGCTCTCCCCCTAGCCCAGCTGGGTCCTAGGCTCACAGTCACAACACGTCATATATTTACTTTGCATGCACAGACAGGCTGTAGACCTCCAGGAGAATGTAAGTTCCCAGGGGCAGGGCTTGTCTCACTTTTATCTTTGCCCTTCTGGGATCTAATAAGGCAGCAGAGACATCACAAATGTTTGCTGAATTCACTTTTGTTAAATCACATTGGTGCATCATGCTGGGTTTCATCAGTTAAATTAAAGATTAAATCATAAGAAATGAAATAAGTCCAAACTACAAAAATATATCTTGGTATTAACCAGCTTTTTCAAAATGCATTTTTGTTATCAGGTTTGAGAGGCAGCATGATGTAGTAAGAGAATCAGATCCCTGTAGGCAGATATTGACTTGGAAAATTACAAATTAACATTATCTATGTTGCATAGCCTTTTTCTTTCTTCTTTTAAAACATTTCCTGATGACATTTTAATCTGGCCCGGAGTGTTGGGCCTAAGTCCAACACTTCTGGTGGAGTGGATAGGGAGCAGAAGACCAGAGATCAAGCCCCAGCTCTGACACAGACTGGCTGTGTGACCCTGGATAAGTCACTTAAACTCTCAGGGCTCCAGGCTTCTTATATAGAAACAAAGTTGCAGCCAAGATATTGATCCACATGAGGAGGATCTTCCTCTAGGAGTCTCAATCCTCTAGCCATGCCTCCTAATTACCTTTTTAAATCTCCCTGAATTTCATTTTTAGTCACTTTTTTCCTTATATAAAGTGATTTTTTTAAAATAAATGTGAAACTAGAATACAGTTTCTAACCATTTCCACAGGTCCAATGGATTGTAGAAACATGGCTTTCTTGAAAGGACAAGTGGTCCCCCTCTTTGGGGGGGATGGGGTACCCTTAAAGAGCCTACCTGGTCTAAACATTAACCAAACATGGGTGGAAAGCAGAGGCACTTCCCACCTCGGGTTCCAGGTCATTTTCCTCTGGGTTGTCAAATGCCTCCTAAGCAGCTCCATCTCCAAAGCCCCAAGGCCACAAAGACAGGGCTGAAAACCCTTGCCTCCTGGCTGAATGGTATGGAGATGCCTCTTCTTTTTTAAATTTTTATTTTAGAGATGCCTCTTCTAAATGGGACTTAGAAAGCATCTGAGATGGGAACCCCTTTACCTCACCAGCTGGCATCATCTTACCAAGAGAAAATGATTCCTACATTCAAGGCAAGGCAGAAGCAAAGGACAAATTAGTTTTCCACGTTTAAAAATGCCTCTTTGGACTACAACTGCTTAAGTTCTCCATTTTCCACGAATGGGCTGGCACCTTTGCAATTTCCACTTGAGATAGCTTAGGTGGGACATGGGGGGGCAGCCTTCAGACCCTGTAGACTTTGATACAAAAATAGCCTCTCTCCCCATCCTCCGCATCACAGCACATGGCAGCTGAGCCTGGGAAGACAGGCTGGCTCCCCATGGCAGAGCCCATCACCCTGGCTGCAGCACTCACCCAGCCCCAAGCTGGGGCTCCCTAGCACTGGATTCTCCCTCCACTGAGGGATGCCTCTGAGCTCCAGCCTTCTGCCTGGGAGATGCTGTGGAGCCTGCTTGTTCTCAGTGCCAGTTGAGGACTCTGTCTGGGAACAATGCTGCTGTCTGCAGCCGACACTGGACCAGCAGCAGCCCGGAGCTGGCCAGACCTGAGGCCCTCCAGGTGTGAGGGATGCACCATTAGAACTTGGTTCCCATTGGCTCCGATGTGATGTTTCTGTCACAACCTGAAGGGACGCTGGAGGCATCTAGTGAGGCAAGGACTGGTCCAAGGCCATGAGCTCCAATTGAGCTCCAATCCTTTTGGCCCTTTTTACTCAAAGAGTGAACCAGACTTAGGACAAGGGTCTGGGGTCCGTCGACATCTGCGAAGACCAAGGGTTACGGGGTTGGAACCTTCAACCCCGAGGCCATATGTGGCGCTCTAGGTTTTCAAGTGCGGCTCTTTGCATCCAAACTTCACAGAACAAATCCTTTTTACAAGGGGATTTGACCTCCAGCCGTTAGAATGACCAGGAGTCAAAGGCTGAGCCTGGGCTCCAGTTCCAGAGTTGCCTCTTCCTAGCTGTATGACCTGGGCAAGTTGTTGGCCTTCTCTGGTCCTATTTCCTTGTGGGGCTGGACGTCTCCAAGGATGCCTTTAGCCAGTCTGCTGCTGAATTCCACGAGAGCCACTGGCTAGCAAAAGGACTGCTTCAAAGGGGCGGGATTAACTGGCTGTAACACCCACCCATCCAATTCAATGCTCCAAGCATTGACAGAGCACCGGGCCAGGCACCTGGGATACAGAGACAAAGTGAACAATTCCCTGCCTTGAAGGAGCCTGAGTTTGATTGTGTGTGTAAAGATGTGTATGTATTCACAAATATCTGTGTGTTGATGTGCACCTTAATCCAATAGATGACAGATAATAAGCCAAATACATCCAAAGTGGGGGTGGGGTGGGAAGGCTTCCTCTAAGAGGCAGCACATGAGCTGAATCAGTTATTTATTTATTTATTTATTTGTTTGTTTTTAGGCAATTGGGGTTAAGGGACTTGCCCAGGGTCACACAGCTAGTAAGTGTCAAGTGTTTGGTCTGAGGCCGCATTTGAACTCGGGTGCTCCCAACTCCGGGGCTGGTGCTCTATCCACTTTCTGCCTAGCTGTCCCACGTGAGCTGAATCTTGAAGGGAGCTAGGAGATCCCTGGAGGTGGAGATGAGGAGGGACAATATTCTGGGCAAAGGGACGGAGGTGGGAGGTGGCATGTCCCTGGCTCACAGACTGAGCCATAACAGAACTTCGAGGTCAGTGGTTTAGCTTCCAACCCCAGGGAGTCATACGTGAAGCCAGACTACAAAGATAAGCCCGAGTCAGGAGTGAGGTGCGGTAGGTGCCCACGGGCACTCTCCCTGTCTCTCACACACTCCACCCCTGACGTGTGTCATCACAGCCAATCCTGTCAGCTCAGCCAAGGACATGCTGCCAAGCATCAGCTCATTTCAAGGCCAGGGATCAGCCTCGGAATAAAATCATGTGAAGTGTGTGTGTGTGTGTGCGCGCACAGGTGCGTGTGCCCAGGTGGGTGTATTCACACACAACTCAGAAGAAAGCCAGCCCTGCCCCATGCTGCATCTCTTCCCCCAGATACCATCCTGCTAGGGTTTGCAGCACATCTCCTCAGGTACACAGTCACAGGCCTCAGTGACTGGCCATTACTCAGCCTGGGCTGGCGAGGGATGAGAAGGGCAGCCCCGGGCCCAGTGACCTCCCCTTCAGAAGGAGCTGGCAAGTGCCTTCACCTCTGTTTGCCTCAGTTTCCTCACCTGTAAAACCTCCCAGGGTGTTGTAAGGATCCTAAGAGATGTTTGTCAAGCACTTAGCACAGAGCCTGGAGAGCAGTGCCAGCAGCATAAATGGTTCTTCCCTTGCCCTCAAACATCCTGACCCCAATTCCTGTACCTTCACTCCCGCAATGCAATTCAGGCCTTAATTACAACAGCTGCCTGACACTCTCAGTGCCCCAAGGCTCTCTCCCCTGTTGGGGTGAATTTGGGGGTGAACCCTGACCACACAGGGAGCAGGCTTCCTTCCTGCCCCACCCACTGTAACAAAGTCTGTACCCCCTGGGCACTGACCCCAGGAGCTTTTGTGCCCTAGAACTGGGACTGACCTGGTGGCAGCTCCCTCCCGGGCTCTCTCCCTGCCGCCTGGGCACAGACCCCAGGCCTCCGAGGAACTTCACTCTCCCTGCCAGTACCCTGAGTCACTGGGGCCCAGGGCTTCTCACCTCTCTGCAGGAACCTGGATCCCCCTCCACACACCCACAGTGTGACCGGCTTGCTGACAACTTTGTCTCTGAATGGTTTCCTAGGAGAGGAGACCGGGACTCCCAGCGGGGGTTGGGCTGGGGGCTGTGGGCCCCAGGCATCCTCAGCTGCCTCAGCTTGGCCACGGCCTTGGCCGCCTCCGCCTCTATCCACGGAATGCAGTTGGGGGTGGGGGTGGGGGCTGGGGCTGCCTCGGGAACAGGATATGCATGGGTTTAAAGGAAGCCTGCTGGAGCTGCGGCTGGTCTGGGCTAGGCTGCAAGGCCAGGCCCAGGCTGGCAGCGGGAAAGGCAACGTCTGCCTGGTGGTTCAGCCCCATCCCGGAATAGCCTCCTTCCTCTTCTCCCCTCGTAAAAATGTCTGGCGGCCTGTCCCCTGGGGACCTGCTTGAGCCCAGTCAGGTGGCAGCAGTTGCGGCGGCGGCCGCGGCAGAGGAGGAGCCACCCAGCAGGGGCCGTGTCTACACGGACCAGGGCCGGAATGGACTGTAGCCCCTCGCCCCCTCCCCACATTTCCCTGTTCATCCCCAGCCCAGCCGGGGATGATGCCCCCCGCCCCGGGATCCCGACAGAGGAGGAAGATAGAAGAGGACACCCCCCTCCCCACGGCTCCCTGTGCCCCATCTACTAACAGCCGCTCTGGGATCCCGGCTTCTAGCCCAGACCCGCCGCCCCCGCTCCACCCCTGCAGTCCCCGCTCCACCCCCGCAGTGGCGCCCCCAGATCGGGCCCCGGCAGGTACCTGGCAGCCCCGTGCCTCCGCTCTCACAGGCGGCTGCCGGGCCCTCAATCCCTTGGCCCGTCCCGCTGGCGTCAGCGCGGTCCGCGACAGGGCAGCAGCCCTGGTATCAGCGGGAGGAGGAGGAAGAGGAGGAGGAGAAGGAGGAGGGATGTGAGCGGAGCGCCGGGAAGGAGAGGGTGGGGCGCCTGGGCAGCCGCTGGACGGGCAGAGGGATGGCCGAAGGCCCGGACAGCACAGGCCGCCTCGGGCCCTTAAGGGCCAACCGGGCTAGGGGACCACAGCGGGGGCGGGGGGGGCTCCCTTACCTGCTCCTGGCGGGGCGGGGTCCCCTAATGCTCACTCAATGTAGACAGGCCCTTGCAGCTGTACCCAAGGAGCTACATAGGCCCCACCCTCGGGGCGGGACCCCTCCTCCCTCCTCCCTCCATCCCCTTTTTACTCCTCCACAGCCAGGTGTTCTGGGCTAGTTGTGTGCGTCACAATCCCACCCGTGTGTGTGTGTGTGTGTGTGTGTGTGTGTGTGTGTGTGTGTGTGCGCGCGCGTGTGCGCGCTCGCGAGTACCAGCACGATGCTGGGCACACACTTCATAAAAATGCTTGTTGACTGATCGACCTGTCTGTCCTCTTGCTATCTAGTGAGGAAGCGGATCTCTGCCCCCCACCCTACTATCGGCATATGTGTACATATGTGTGTGTGCATAGTGTGTGAGAGCAGACGCATGTTCCTTCTTGCTTGGGCGCCTGTGTGTGCCAATGTCTGTGGATGAGTGTGTGTGCGGCTGTGTCACCCTCTCTGGCCCTTCTGGGACAGTAATTCCGTGACAGGTTGGGGGAGGGGAGCTATGGATTGTCGCTGGGATCCCTGTTCTCTTCACTCCTGTAGCTGCCTGCTTCACTTCCTTCATTGCTAGGTCTAGGTGGCTCTACCAGGCCAAACATAAACGATGGCAGAAAAGTTTCTGGGCTTCCATCACATCCTCCACTGATCCTCCCACACTCCTCCACTGGGCCCGAAGGCTCTCCCTGAGGGGCAGTTTTGGGGGCAATGAGGTGATGCCTTCTGGGATTAAGGGCATGCTGGTGGTGGGGTGTGGATGTATGGTCCGGTGGGTGTTTCCCACCAGTAACTAAATCCTACAAGAATTTTGGAAGTGCCTGCTCAGTGTTTGGCTTCTTACAAACTGGCCCCAGATCCCTGAGGCACAACACCGGGCCCACAGGGGTCCTTGTGTAGTATGGTGGCCCTGAGTTTGGCACCATGGGGGTGGCACCTGGTGCCATTCTCTTAAGCAATCAACTCTACTGGCCTCTAGGTCCAAATAGAAGTTCCTCTGTTTGCTTTCAAAGCCCTTAAACCTGGCCCAACTCACCACTCCAGCCTTGCTGGGCATTCCTCCCCTCCTGTGCTCTATAGACCATCTGAACTGGTCTGCTCCTCACCCATGACACTCCGTGTCCATCTCTGGGCTTTCCTTCTTCCTCATCTTTGTCTTGTAGACTCCTCTTTTTCTTCGGGACACAAAGAAGGCACCATGTGAAGCCTTTCATAATGCCCCCAATTACCAGTACCCTACCTTCCAAGTTACCTTGTATTGAATGACCTTGTATTTATTATCTTTATATTGCGTGTACACACACATACATACATGCACACATAACATACACACACCCAAACAGTGCTTGGCACAGAGTAGCCTCTTTCCGAATGTTTGTTGGCTAACTGATGGATAGAAATTATTGCCAAAGATGACAGCGTTTGCATAGGATCAAGGGCTGCTGAGATCCTACATGGTGCCCTTTGAAAGGAAGAGATATAGAGGAGAAATATTGATGTGGGCAGGGCCCAGTTGCCTAGGAAAGGGCCTTCTCAGAACGGACTTGGACTTTGGGCCAGGGAGTAAAGCACAGGGTTGACAGATGCCTTGCCAAGAATGGAGTGCAGCTGGGTGAGTGTCAAACTTGGAGTCAAGAAGACGGAGTCAGAACCCTGGCTCAGACAGTGACTAGCTGTGTGACCCTGAGCAGGTCATGCAGTCTCTCTCAGCCTCAGTTTCTTCTTCTGTAAAATGAAGATAACAACAGCACCTCCCTTACAGAGTTGTAAGGATCACATGGGCAGAAGGAAATGGTAAACCACCATGGGGCCTTTGCCGAGAAACCTGCAAATAGGACCACTAAGAGTCGGACACAATCCGAATGACTGAACCACAGCAGCAACGACAGGGGTCAAGTGACATAACATGGAAAGCGTTATGTCGGTGACGGCGCTGATGGACAGAAGGCAGAGAGCACGCAGTTATTGGCTGTCTCACAGGTCCGGCAGCCAGCCAAGAGCTACGCAATGCTTACTGTGTGTCAGGTGCTGAGCCAAGCCATCCAAGGGGCAGCTAGGTGGTGTGGTGGATAGGGCACCGGTCCTGGATTCAGGAGGACCCAAGTTCAAATAGGCCTCATAACACTCACTAGCTGTGTGACGCTGGGCAAGGCACTTCACCCCTTGCCTAGCCAAAACAAAACAAAACAAAAAAACAGGCAAAGTTACTTATGGCACAACATGGCTGTTACTGTGCATAACGTTCTCCTGTTTCTGCTCACTTCACTCAACATCAGTTCATATAAATCTTTCCAGGTTTTTCTGAAGTTGGCCTGTCCATCATTTCTTATAGCGCAATAGTATTTCATTACATTCATACACCACAGCTTGTTCAGCCATTCCCCAGTGGATGGATATCCCCTCAATTTCCAATTCTTTGTTACCACAGGAAGAGCTGCTATGAATAATTTTGTACATGTTGGTCCTTTTCCCATTTGTATGATCTCTTGGGCATACAGCCCTAGAAATGCTCTTGCTGGGTCAAAGTGTATGCACATTTTTATAGCCCTTTGGGCATAATTCCAAATTGCTCTCCAAAGTGGTTGGATCAATTCACAACTCCACCAACAATGCATCAGGGTTCCAATTTTCCCACATCTCCAACATTTATCATTTTCCTGTTTTGTCATGTTTGCCAATCTGATAGGTGTGATGTGGTACCTCAGAGTTGTTTCAATGTTCATTTCTCTAATCAATAGTGATTTAGAGCATTTTTCCCTATAACTATAGATAGCTTTAATTTCTTCATCTGAAAACTGCCTGTTGATATCCTTTGACTGTTTATCAATTGGGGAATGATGTGTATTCTTATAAATTTGACCTAGTTCTCTACATATCTTGGAAATGAGACCCTTATCAGAGAGACTGATTGTAAAAATTCTTTCCCAGTTTTCCACTTCCCTCCTAATCTTGATCGCATTGGCTTTGTGCAAAACTTTTCAGTTTAATGTATTCAAAATTATCCATTTTGCATTTCGTAATGTTCTCTATCTCTTGTTTGGTCATAGATTCTTCTGTTCTACATAAATCTGACAGGAAATTGCTCTCCTAGTTTGCTTATAGTATCACCCTTTATATAGGTAAGGCTTCTTGTAGAACATGGGACTCTGACTAGGTTTGAAGAAAGCCAGGGAATCTCTGGTGAAAGCCCTAAGTAAAAAGGCTTAAAAAAAGATGGGGGCAGGGAGAAAACTGTCAGTGCCTATCTGCCAATTTAAATACAATAGAGAATAATTAGAGTGAAGGAAGAAGAAAAGCTGTCAAGATGAACAGAAGATCGTCAGAGACAAAATCCTGAAAGGGATCCAGGCCTTCCTTTGGTCAGTCAACAAGCTTTTATTGTTTTAGCTTAATGTCTTTAATTCACAAAAATTTATTTCTTCCTTCTCTTAACTCTCCTCTCATTGGGGGAAAAGAAAAAAAAACTCTTGTAACAAAAGGACATAGTCAAGCAAACAGATTCCCCATCAGGCTCACAACAAGCCTATGAAGTAGATATGCTGATGATTATTCTCAGTTTACACCAGGAAACTGAAGCTGAAGAGAAGGGGCTTCCTGAAGATCCCAGAGCTAGGAAAAGTCTGAGATGGAATACAAACAGAAGTCTTTTTGCCTGTCTGTGCAGGGCTCTATGGGCTGGGCCACCCAGAGGGGAGGCTTAGGTGCTGATGATTGTATGCCTTTGGGGAGGCGATTTCCCCCAAGGCAGGAGGTGGCAGGATGGGTGCAGGATCTTAGATCTTGAGCTGCAAGTCCTCCATGACCACTGAGTCCGACTCTCACATTTTATAAGCTCCAGAGCTGAAGGGACTTGCCCAGGGTTACATGTGAGAAACATCAGAAGGAGAAAGGATGATTCCTGGTTCCGTGTTCCCAGATGGTGGTGTTCACACTCCACTGATTCCTGCTACTCCTGCTTGAGCATGCTACTTAACAAAGTGTTGGCCTCAGGGAGAGTGAGTACCTCACACCTGCTTCCGCTCTCCACAGAACCACAGAGCCTGAGAGCTGGCAGGGACTGTGGCTACCTAGTTAGTCTAACCCTTTTGATGACATTTCTGATGATTGTTTTCTAGCCTCTGCTAGGGGACTTCCCTGCCTCGAGGCAGCCCATTGCATGTCCTCTGGACATCAAGTCTGATGGTGCCTCTTTGTAGCTTCTTTAACAAGTGATCACTCTGCCCCCTTCACAACATAAATGTCAAGTGATCATCCAGCCTTTTTTGGCAGCTTCCAATGACAGGGAGCTCGCCACCTCCAGAAAGCAGCTCATTCTGCTCTGGAGTATTTATAATTATTTGGAAGGGATTCCTGATATCAAGGCTAACTTGGTCTCCCTGAACCTGCCATGGACTGTCACTTCTGGTTCAGCCCCCTGGGGCCAAGCAGAACACGGCAGCATTAATTTCCCCCTAGCCTTCTCCTCTCCGGTCTAAATAGTCCCATTTTCTGCAGCTGAGCCTCATAGGGCATGGGCTTCTGGCCAACCCTTCTGGTTGCCCTTCTCTGAGCACCCTCCTAGTTTATCTCTGTCCTTCCTAACATGTTTCTCCAAATGGAAGGGCAGCAGTAAGCTGCGGAGCATTTGAAGGGCAGGCAGGAGGGTGAAGGGCCACCAGCCCATGACATCAGGCTGATGCCAGGCAGGTGAAGGAACTAATGATGTTTAGCTTGGAGGACGGCTGGTCTCCTGGCTAGGCAGGATGGTCTTG